GCATTCTTGAAACGATTAGCGGGTTCAATATTCAAATAATCAATTCATTAATGTAATCTTGAGGGGTACGTTTCACTTGGTTTGACTGTAATTTTAATTTATCCTATGATAATGCGAGAACCTCCTCTGGGAAAGACGTATGACCTGTTTCCGAGATACAGTTATGGAACGATACTTTATCCCTGGGTTCGTATTTGTTCCAAGTTACGTTTTTGGTGGGCTAATTTTGGGGTCAGGAGAGAAATGCAGGGTACGCGCCTCTGCATCAATAAGCACTTCTACCTACTTTTCATTCTTTGGCCTCACCGTGCGTAAACGACATCAACAATTGCTTACCAGCCTGGTTAGATTCGTAAAAGGAGGGCTGTCTCTGTGTACAGCTTCTTGCTGTGACTTACATCTGTAAGCACTAATGCGCAAACGCACGCTTAGTACAGGTTTTTCAATATCGTTCCCGTACTCAAGCGTTCTCTGGATACAGGTTCCCCTTTATCAGTTTTAATCCCCTACTCCGTCCCCCAATAAATGATATTGCTGAGCTTTTGCGTGGTTATCGATGAATTATATTGGTACCAGATTCCAACTTATCGGATGGGTCGATTACCAGGGAGGTGTTGGCTGGTGTTGCCACATTTCACTCCAATTCGCAGCTTTCAGTAACTTTTGAAGTTCTCGCGAGTAGTGAAAAAAATAAAATAAAATAAAATAACCCGCGTCATTAAAGCCTTAGGTGGCATTGAAATTTCCACCAAGTTTCAATCTAACTCAGTTACACCCACACAGTTAATTTAATGTGGTAATATTGTAATAACAGCAAAAAGGGAAGCATTCTTTCCTTCCGTAACATACAATGTTCATCGAAATGACTACTTGAAATATCATGTCCGAATTTATGAAAAAAGTGTTAATGGATACTTCGATTTGCTTAACGTTTTTTTTTTTCCTGCAAAATAGGCGATGTAAAAATAAAAAGGAATGCAAGGTGTTTTTTTTTTTCCTCCACTCTGATATTTGCTAAATGATGTTGTTCTCGGGAGCTCCGAGTTCAACTTCTCGGCTGTGCTTGTAAATAGCCAACTGGTCTGCCTCCCGCCAATTGGGATTCTTAACCTAGTTATGTCTATTTGAATATTTATTTATCATTGTCTGTTTACATTGGTCCTGAAAAGTCCCAATTGGGAGTGGCCAATTAGGTATATTTATTCAAATCTTTACATCTTTTTTTGATTCTTTGACGTTTGTCGGGCTTCATAACCATTCCCCTCTATTAACAATGCTTGGACTGAGTGTTCAGGTCTTTTTAGGAGTAGTAAAATCACATGTACGATGTACAGCTCATTTGGTGCAAAGGAACGTATTTTTTTTTAACACTGTCTTTATACATCCAGTTTGGAGCTTTGAAGCGGTAACCCTAAAGGGCGAGCCAACCGGTGGGAATTGATTTGCCAGTTGTCATTATTAGTACCGTGCAACAAGTAGCACTGAGAGAGTTTTCCGCTTGAGTTGATTTAATTAAAGTCATAGTACTTAAATAAGCTCTTCTTAATTAAGTTCGTCTCTGGCATTAGAAATGCGGATAGTTTGTACCAGAACGTCCAAATAAATTGAAAATTAAGTAGAATATTGAGAATTATAAATCAATCTGAGTATCTGTCGTTTTAGTTGCATCAGCCGGCCTGGCTTCGAAATTTAACTATGCTGTTAATTGTTTGCTCTTTATAAGAAATACCCGGATGGGTTTTCAAAAAGCAATAGCATATACGAGAATTTTTTGATCATCGATCGGAGAACGTCACTACCATTGGTAGTAAGATATGTTTTCGTTTCTTCCGGGTCGTTTTGAGGATTCTTTTTGGGAAATCATTTCTGCTGTAGTAGGAGATGATTCAATCCAGGTCTTCGGCGATCGTATTGATAGAGCGTTTCTATGGCGTGTCACCGCGAACACTGGGTGGGCTGAGTCAACTGAAATTAACGGCTTGTGTTTGTTCGAGGGACATGTTGGATATCGCTCCACTGACAAAAATTGAAAGCCTCGGGTCAAGTATCTACCCCACAAGAACGCGAGGGGCAGTAAATCTAACCATGTAGACTCCACTGGAATTCGAACTCGTTTTAGGTGGTTATTGATGCATAAGTCCATTGTAGCCTGTTAAATACAAACCACTGTAATAACTTTGCCCATAAATTAATGTAGGAATTTCCTCGACACGTTTTGAAGAGCAAAAACGCTTGAGAGAAACATTCGTAAATAAAAGTTGAGAACCGATATATTTAATGACAGCCGGGCAATACTTTCGACCGAGAACGACACAGATCTGTCGATCTTACCATTACGTCATCCAGCATAAAAAAAGAAACTAGATCAATCAGAAACCAATTTTGAAGTCGAGTTAATCGTAGAAATGGCGAGGACGAGCTGAAGGCTCGATTTCCGCCGCGCTCCCGCGTCCGGTTATGAAGCTGTGAAAAGCGGTGACATCACCATGGAGTACAGCCGAACTTTGAATGTTTCCTACAGTCAATAGGGAGGATAACCCACATACACATAAAACAAATGTAGGCACTTGCCGCAATTATCAAGGATCCCAATTGCACTAATTCCACTACAAAATGCTTGATTCTTTCCTCTTAGTGAATGATGGATCGTTTTTGGCGTAATTGTTGCAGGTTTGAAAAGTTAACCACCCGTGCAATGTCAACACGCTTCGACACCAATAAAAGACCACCTTGCCAATACAAGATTGAGTTACATTCACCTACCTGCAAGACCACTCAGTCGCTGAGTCTTTAACTAAACCAATACACTTGTTCTCAGCGAGGCGCCAGTGTCGCCTTCTGAAACAACAGCGCGATCAAATATGCATTGTTGTTCAAAGCTTTGTTATAATTTAAACTTCTGAAGACAAAGCACCGAGCAAAGCAAAACTCCATCATGTTGTAAATGAACCCCGATTAGAGTTTAGAAACGAACGAAGGAGGAACCTTGTCGACGTGAACTTACCTTGAGTTCAAGTAAGTGGTACCGGTCAAATAAGTGTCATTTAATGATATTCGTTCATGGAGAAATCTCAGCGATATTAACAGTTACGAATGCGCTAGTTGTATTCACTGCACGATTTGTTTTGACGTAGCAGGTAATAATTATTATTCTTTCCTCTACAGGAATGAATGTTAACTTTTTTATTTTCATGTGGAATATTCTCATCGGCGTTGAGCTTTCAACAGCTTCTCGTGGTTTAAAAGGAGGTAAGGTCAAGATGGTAAGGATAAGTTTGCTCTTAGAGATGCGATGTGATTATTTTTTAATGACTATGGGTTTAGCTAGGACTGTAAATCGTTAACTCATCCAGGCTGCTAGGATCAAGTTACAGCTTATTATCATGTATCGTATTTCATATAAGGTTACGTAATTTCCCCTATAAAATACATGATATTTATGTCTAGTATAATATACGTAGTAACAGCTTTAGGGTTTTTCAACGAGGTCACTAAGTATAGCACATTTTCTATAGCGACTGTATGTTAAATTTGTGTCACCGTTTACGGCCCAAGAAACATTATAGCGAAAGAGAGTTTGAACATTATAGTGAAAGAGCCCCATAAAACCACAGCTTAATATGTAATATTTCAGGAAGTAAGCGCAGTTTTATTCAAGTATATTCCTGTTATGGTGCCCTCGTGCTCGATCAAGCGTCGAGTCCGGTATAACCAGTGTCAGAATTACATTGAAGCCGCTTTTGATGGTCGTTATTTACAATGTATGTATAGCTGTTTGCTATTTTAATTTGGAATTTGGTGGTTCTGAAGGAAATATCTTTGTTTTAATGGCTGCCGTGGTTGCCATTTTTTTAGAATTTTTCCACCCTAGGGAGTATTGCATACACTGCAGAAGTACTAAAAAAAATTTAGTTGTTGCAGTCATATTTAGTTCTTAAGACCTAAAGCAAACCGTACATAATTCCACTGAGAAAGAAAAAAAAAGAAAAAAGAATAACAACCAATCGCAATTTGACAGTGATGCGACAGCTTTACAACAGCTCGCTTCCCATTACAAGCAAATAATGATTTACGTTTTATACCCTTTGTCCTATTGTGTAACAAAGGTTTCAAAACCTGGCAGATCTGCTCTGGTTTTATTATTCGTCAATCATTACTGTGTACTCCAGTTTCATTCACTGGAACTAACTTGTCAGGTTAACTGAAGCTGTACTATAACGTAAAGCTTTATTTGTTAAATGAGCCTAAACGTAAGATCGTTTGGTTTAAATAATTTTGTAGCAGCTTCAATATGCAAGCTGCTTGGAAATATATAGCTATGGTGCGGACCACCTGTTGAAAGAAATGAGTCAGTACAAAATTGCTGTTCATAGATAGACATGTATTTCTTTATTTTCAGCACGGAAAAGTCAAAACGCTGCAAGCAGGTTTTTCATCGAGAGAATTGGACTGAAAGAAAATTATTCTACGAAACTCCCAAACCAAATGGGTTATAAGCGACGTCCTGTGGTAAAAAGACACAAACTTCATTGGAAAGGAAAATCTCACTTACAAACTTCATCTAGTCACCTAGGAGTGAAAAGACATTTCGCTGCACAAAATTTCGTTCCAAGACCGTTTGATGGCTCCTCAGTAAAAGGTAAAATTTTATAATACTATCGAAGAATGCATGGTGGCAGCTCAAACATTATTCATGTCGATAATTGCTGCTGTCAAGAAGTGTAACCTTACATTTGGAAACCAATCAAACAAGCTTCAAACCAAGAGCGTTACAGAGACAAGTGAAACTACATACATATTAGGGACCTTTAGATCCACGTTTAGGGCAAACGTCTGACTGCATGCAGTTTGAAGTTAGACGTTTTCCTTTCCCCCGTTCCGCTGTCAGTCGATTTAAATTGCAGTAAATTAGAGCGAATATAAATCATCCTGTCAATACATTAGAAATTGTCAAAATTACGCCAATTTTGAAAAAAATGTTCGTTTTCTAGCATGTGTAGCTCTCTAAAGAAATAAAACTTCATGAATTTCCAATGACTATCGCGGTGCATTTCCACATACAACATCAAAAGGCTAGAAAATTGCTTATTTGCCTAAAAATTATAACCAATTTGTAGAAAAGGGTCCGGTTACTTTATTCAATTTCATCATTTGTACGTGGCAAAAAACAAAATATCAAGGCAATAAAGCCTGACGTAAATGACTTTCGTGAGAACCTTCTTCTTGTTGCAAGTCGAGCTCAAACGTGGCGTTCAGTACTGGTCACTTGTCGTCACAGACCCCTAGCGGTTCGCCTATCGAGGGAAACTTGGATCTAAAAGTCACCATTGTTAAGTTTAAGATATCGATAAGCAAACACAAACTGACAGGACAAACAAACATGACAAACACAGTAGTATACTGCCTCGTAGACTGACCTGAATTCGTAGCTGCGATATGGAATTCATCCAATCATTTGCTCAAGAACCGTTTGGTGACTGTAGTCGTTTGTTACGAAGCAAATCACTCTAACTAAAAAGTGTATCTATCATCCATTTACAATGTTGTCTGTTCATTAAATACGTTTTATTTGTCTTAGCTTGCAAAACCCAAGTAGACCTTGGATTTCTGATAGATGGTTCCGGAAGCGTAGAGATGTACGGAAAAGGAAATTTTCAAAAGTGCAAGGAATTTGTAACATCTCTGACAAAAGCTTTTGTTATTTCTCCAACGGATACAAGAGTAGGAGTGATTCTGTTTTCGTCTCAAAGTGAATTGCAATTTGACTTTACTCGGTATAAAACGGAGCAAGAAATTGAGAAAGCAATTGATAACATTAAATATCCTGGCTACACGACGAAAACTGGCGCAGGACTGACAATGGCGGCAGACAAACTGTTTAACAACGTTAGACCTGATGTTCCTCGCGTGCTTATCGTTTTGACTGACGGTGCTTCCAACGACGACGTAGTAACACCTTCTGACGCACTGAAAAGCACTGGGGTAATTATATTCACGGTGGGACTGGGGAAAAACTTTAAAATAGACCAGCTAGAAGTTATGGCAAGTGATCCAAAAGAAGAGCACGTATTTACTGTTGATTTTCCACAAATGGAAACTATAGTAAAGGCAATGCAAGAAAGGTTGTGCAAAGGTAAGAGCCTGTATCTAATTAGTGGGTATAGAAAATTAATAATAATCTCAACCCCCTTCAACTGAAAGTAAGGTTACAGTAGGTATCGCGGCTGACAAGCAATGATGGAGGTTTAACAAAGCAAATGACTTTTGTCATCTGGAATGCCCAGGGATTGTTGATCGATTCATCCAGCAGTACAAAACAACATTTGAATTTCCTCGTAATTAGTGGTATTACGAGTGATTTGTACATCGAACTACTATCCGATGCATTGAAAGCAGTGCAATGCAATGTAATGCAATGTGATAAATTACAGTTCAGTACAGTACAGCGCAGTGAAAAAAAAATTATTTTCAATATTTTTACAGCTGCTGTTAAGGCTGTCGCTGAAGGAACCAGTAAGTACATATTATTATTCTTATTTTCTAATGGTAATTTGTAAAACTATGAAAAGAGAGGACTGTTTAAATTTTTTTACATCTTAAGTAAAAGTTGGGATGCAGCAATGTAAAGTTCTTATGCCCATTCATGTAATAAATGACTTTCATCTCCAAATATGAGCTCATTGTTTACGTGAGAAAATCCCCGTTTTCTTTTGCGCACACCTTACCTGTCTGTAAGAAATGGAAGTCTCCGGTTGTTGAGATCCATCCTTTAAAGTAGCCCAAAGCTTTTGAAGTGGTCACAATTTGTTGAAGCCAATTCCCTAACTTACAGTAAGAGACATGCAAAGGGACTTCATGAACAGTCTTGCAAACCGACGAAGCGGCAGCATGCAAGTGACTCAGACCACCACCACCTCCGGCGGAAGCAGCTCGTCAGGAGGAATGTCCGCTGGCGGTAGTTCTGTTTCTGGTTCGATTAATGGAGGTTCTACAAGTTCATCAGGTTCCACCGGAGCTGGCGGTGAGTGATTTACGCGTGAGACAGAACAAGACGGTTGCGTGACAATGACCCGCCTACACGACGCATGTGCGACTGGCATATATCACGTTGGCCTGGCCATCACGACAGGCTCAGAGAAGACCTTAAAAATCTACACGAATTGACAATACCTCTACGAAATACAACTCGATGATGAATTCCCGAACCATCCGCATACAACGTTACACTTACTTCTATCACTTACTCAGTATCACTTACTTCTCGAACGCCTGTACTGTTCCGAAAAGTTTATTGCGTTGTTGTTTAAAATATAGCTGAGCACTATTCACTAACGGCTGTTTTTTCAATGACTCATTTATTTAGCCGGTGGAGCAGTGGGTGCCTCAGGAGGAGGTAAGTATGTCCCTTTAGTTTTCTAGACAAATAAACGAGGCCTATATAAATTCTATATGATGAAGATCTCTTGACAAAAAACCCGTAAAATGGAAACTTTATAATGCAGTAGTAAAATAGAAACTGCTTTGTGAAGTTATACCTGTTTAGTCCAAATGACATCTTTCAATTGTCTTTGAAACCACTGATATTTATTTCTAGCTGGATGCGACCTGGCGTTCATGGTGGATGCGTCATCTAGTATAGGTGGAGACGCAAACTTCCAACTTGTAATTAAGTTTGTCATCAGTATTTTCCACTCCTTTACCATCGGCGGCGGAGTACGATACGGATTAGTGGCGTTTGGCAGCAGTGTCAAGGTATGTGGCTATAACAAATGATCACTATATTAGGAAACTACTTGAGATTGTGACTCTCCTGAGACATGTTTCATGTCCAAATGAATAGTTCATCTACAGTGAAATTCCGATTTTTCGAACCTGCATGTGATATGAAAATTGGTTTGGAAAATCGGGCAGTTCCAGCCTAGAAATCTGGAAGTAAAATGGTAGCGAAGGGAAACCACTATTAGTTTGAGAGGTTCGTATATATCTTTAGTCCTTACTCGACATGCGTCAATTTCTGCGATCTATCACACTTTATATAATAACCCAAGTTATTCTCGCATTTTGATTGGTTCTCGCCTATGATCTATTAGAGGACAGATGCACGATTGGCGTCATCATTTCAAAGTTTTTCCCTCTGTGTTTCAAAATGGCTGAAAGTCTTGAGAATTTAGATAATATTTTACATGACTGGGCA